AAGATCATGGAGATTTGCTCTTATATTTTCTTCTTAGAGCTGTATAGTTCTAGCTCTTATATTTAATTCCCTGATTTACTTTGAGTCAATTTTTCTGTTTGGTGTGAGGTGAGTGTAAAAATCATTATTTTGCATGTGGATTTCCAGTTGTCCCTGAACCATTTATTGAAAAGACTATTCCTTCCTCATTGAATTACCTTGGACCTTTTGTTGACAATCAGTCGGCCATAAACGTTAGGGTTTATTTCTGAACTCTCAATTCTATGCCATTGATCTATATGTTTATCCTTAAGCCATCTTGTTTCTTAACTTTACAAAGACCCATCTATATTTAGGGCATTTAAACTTGCTGTTCCCCTGCTTGGAATAATTTTATCATTTTTCCTATTGTCCTGTGCTTGATCTTTTACATTATTCACACTTCTGCTCAAATGTCACATCCTCAGAGAGGCCTTTCTCGGCTACTTTACCTAATACAGCTCCTCATTCCTTTTCCATCACTCTCTACCACCTTTTCTGCTTTCTTTTTTTCACAGCTCGCCTCATATCTGAAACTGTTTATTCTTTACACGTTTACTATCTCTCTTCCCCATTAGAATGTAAATTCCAGGATGACAAGGATTTTTTTTATATGTTTGATAAAGTGCCTGGCACTTAGTAGGAAATCAATAAATATTTGTGGAATAAAGGCATTAATCATGATTTCTACAACAATTTTCATTTTCAAACCTATAATGGTTTTTCCAAGCAGTTAATTACATAATTGAAGTACTCCTTTGAATAATTGGCACTCCTTCTAAAACCTCATCACATGTTTTAACAAGGAGTTATCATATACTTTTGATGACTTGTATTTAAGAGTATGTATCTTTGGTCACACATACATATTACCTCATTCATTTGTTTATTCAACGAAAAATTAATCGAGTGCTAACCATGTGCAAACCATTGTTCTAGATAGTCAATGAAGAGCTAACATAATAGATCTAAGGAGGTAATTCAGATGTCCTACTTGCATAGGAATCCGTGTGGATGTGGATGCCTCTTCACCAAAACCTCTCTATGGTAATATGCTCAGGGTTCAGCTCTGGAAATGGCCTCACAAGTGGGATGTTCTTGGTTACAAGTTTCCTTCTTGATGTTTCAGCAATTAAAAGCCTTCCAATAGATCAAAACCTTACCTTAAATTTCTCACAGAACAGATACTTAAGATTCTGCTTGCTTTATTTCCCAAAAGGAGTTTCAAACAAGTGTATAATTTTTCTTTTTTAAATAAAAGATAAGAAATTATTTAATATCTGTAAATAAGCAAGTTTCTCCTCAATTTTTTATCAATTAATCCTCTTGATTATAAGTGACAACCTGATAAGATTTAAGCACAAAAGAACATTTTAACTCATATAAGCTGAAACTCCCAGGATGGGCAAGCTTTGTTAATGCTCTGTTCAGTAGAAGTCATGACTTCTTTCTCCATGGGTTGGTTCCTATCTCAAAACGTCTTTCCCCTCATTATAGAAAGATAGCTCGACAGCTCTAGATCCTCTCAGATTTAAAACTAGCAAGAAAGAGCAAGAGTCTCCTTCCTAGGAATCCTAGTGGGCATCTCATTTCTCCTTTTTGATTGGAGTACTGCCCATAATATAAACAATCATATTTTTAGGGTATACAGTGCTTTGTTTTAGGTCTAGATAACCCAATTCACCAAAGCATACACGTTGAGAATAGGGAAGTGGGTGGTGCTTCAAAAAGAAATTAACGTATAGCTACCAGAAGGATGATGGATCTTGGGCAGCAAAAACAACAGGTATCCACTAAAAGCCATAATACGTACTGCTAGGAAAGAGAATGGCCACTGGAACGTAGTGTAGTAAGCCAGTTCATTACAGCATTACCAGGTATCTTTCTGTAATGCAAGTCCCTAATTCTGAGTTATAGCTCCCAACACACACACACACACACACACACACACACACACGTTGTTTGTTCGCATACATGTGCACACACACAGGTACAACCATTTCCTTTGCTCTTGCTGCTAGGTTTTAGAGCACTGTTAGACCAAATCAAATCACTACCTTCTATAGATTATAGATTCTGACCTCACAGGGCCCATTGCTACATAAGAATTCATTTTGTTATGGGTCTTTCTAAAATAAGACCCAGTATTTTAATTAGGCAAGATTAACACAGACCAGAAGTATGAAGTAAAGTCAAATGATGGAAGCAGACTCTGAAAGAAGCAAATGCACCATTGACTGCCAGGCTGTTGCTTATATCTTCAGCCAGAAATTTCATTCATTGATATCAATATCTTAATAGAAAATTTAATGCTGATTCTCATTAAAGCTATTTCTTAGCCTTCTGGATCTGACCTTTTGCTAGGACACTGCCTTTCCTCTTTGCCAATCCTCTTTAGTTTCAGACTGCTTCTTGGCTGTGAGGTGTTCTCTTCTCTTACATTTTATGGCCCCTTTGGGCCTTGGCAGGCAGGTGGAACTCCTTATATGTGAGATGAGTACTCTCTCTGACATGCTTTATGGGACACAACAGTCACAACACAACCTATTAACCACACTGTAGCATGCCCATGGGTAGTCTAGCTTTAGATCAGAATTTATGGTTGTTTGTCACATTTATAAAACCACAGTGTCACCTTTATTATTTCTATTATTAAAAAATATATTGAGGCAGTTCTTCATATACTTGGCACATATGAAATTGTTTCCCTTAGATTTTTACTGTCTTCCAGATTGACAATAATATAAAATAGATATAGTCACTACCCTGAAAGAGCATGACTGGAAACTACTCTCAGCAATTTACTTTGTAAATAAAATCTGTTGCATATGTTTCCGTTCAGGTTTTATGGTGGCCTGGGGAAAGCCAGAAGTGCATGTACCTCCCACATATTATATTATGCAATATAAAATTTTTACGTTGGACAGATGTAACCCAAATTTTAAATAATTTAATTAAAAATGCACAGATATGTGGGAAAACACAGAGGCAAAATGTTTAAATCATATTAATTCCTTTCTTTCTGTTTTCTAATTAGCCACTAATAACAAGAAACACTACAAGGTAAACTGGTGTACTGAATAAAACTAAGATATTCCTTCGAGCTATATCAAGCTATTATATGTTCACATCCACAGACCGTGAGCCATATAAATACAGAACTATTATAAACTGTAGTTTCCACCACCCTATTATAACTGGTTTTAACAAATCCAGCTCAATTAAAGTTGTGATTAAACATATTTAAAATAAATATATGGGAGAATACTTATGGTAATTGGAGTTACCCACAATTTAGAAACTATTCATTAGTGACTCTACCATAAAAATCACATTAGTGGATAGTTTTTTGCCCTTATGTTGCAAATGAACTACATAATAGTTAAACATTATATTTACTATTACAAAATATGACAGTGAATTAAGGATAGTCCCATTAAACAGCCAAACCTAATTGATCCAGTTCCCAGTGACTCACAGTATATGCTAATTAAGTCAGGAACAGGACTCCAGTTTGCCTTGAACTAACTAAGAAGTAGGAATTAAAGGAACCTTTAAAATAAAAATACAGAGAGCATTTTGGGAATTTGCATTTGCCCATAAGCAAATTAATAGACTAAGCAAGATTGCTGGGGAAAACATTAAGTGATTTAAGAAAGCAAACATTTCCAATCATCTTTGAAAACTTTTCCAGTATATCTCTATATAAATAGAAAATATACGTTAATGTATTTCTTTATATTTTTTTCTGAACTCTTTGTTAATCTTTTGCGTCCTTATCTCCGGTAAGACTTGGTTCACCTAGGTCCAGTACTTGTTCTGTACTCAAAAGTTATAGAAGTGGGGTTTTTTTTCTTTATGTAACCAAAGTGCATGCTACCTCTGGGGCCCCAAGTCTTTCAATCATCTGGAGTCACTCTGCGCCACTTACATAGAAAACTAGCATTTTCACCACAGCCCACACACAGCCCCAGCTCAGGATCATCAAGAATAGGTTTGTTATAGTTTCTCCAGGTCATTCCTGGCACTGATTCCCTTCTGCTGAATTCTTGATCCACAGTCTTTGTATCAGCTCTTACAGTATCTATCATCTTACTATGGCCTTACCCCAAGGTGGACCTCCTAATGCCATCGTTTCTCCATAGTACTACAGAGCACAGGCTCTTGTGTTTAACAGACTTTCATTGATGATTTGGAGTTTGGGAAGTAATATAGCACAGAATAGTAGAATATTAGTCATCATAGTCCTAAATATTTATTGACAATTCCCTGTCACCAACAATTTCTCCATATTATTGACCTCTTTCTTTTTCACGATGTTCTCCTCCTTTTTCTAAGATCACTAACTCCCTCTGCAGGAGCTGCTGCCAAACCCGAACACTTTACTGAGTATCTCCCTCTTCCTTTGTTTCACCCTCACTCAAGCTATGGCCAATCCTCTTTCTCAAACTAAAAGTCCTGCAATTTCTAACCAATAGAATTATCTGTTGAGGAGATGAGTGGTACTACTCTCTTAGAAAGCAGTAGCAATTTGTTTAAATAGCCCTATTTTCCCTCACTCTACATTTGCAAATTTTCTTCCACTTATTCACAGGGTCCTTTCTAATTAGTAGTCCTTTCTAATTAGCCAGAATATATGTGCATTTAAAGCAGATATTAAAATAATTCACAATCTTTTCACTGTTATCAGGCTTTTAATTTTTTAAAACTGCTAATCAAAATTTAGTCCTGCACACAGTAACGAATAAATACTTACTAACATCTGCTTGCCCAGGTAATTTCAAGCTAGTTTCAGTCATAACTGATGCATACAGAAACACCAAATATTTTGTCAGCGTTTATACTGTCTTTTGTGTACAAGCTAAAAGAGGCTAACCCTGAAACTTCAGTGGAATGGAATCTATCCCATTGGGATGTGGTTATTTGAAGATGTTAGCTTTGATGTATATATTTGATTGCCTTTTTCTATCTTTTTTACATAGTTTTGTGTGAGAATAGAAAAGAACCCTGGCCTTGGATTTAGTATCAGTGGTGGAATTAGCGGACAAGGAAATCCATTTAAGCCTTCTGACAAGGTAAGAAGTGAATTTCTTGTTGACAGTTTTAATTAGAAAAACACTGTCTTCTACTGCAGCAAAAAAGCTTAGAAAAAACTGTAAGCATTTTTACTTTGCTTTAATAAGGTAGCTAACTGTGAAGCCAATTAGAAAGTTTTTCAGCACAGGGTAAAAATAATTCACTGCAGTGCTTGACAAATCCTAAGAATAAGAAAAAATAAATTTAAGCATTCTCTTTGAAAGGAGTGTTATTTGTTTTTTGCTTTTTGTTTTATTCACAACTATATATATGTAAAGAAAGATATACAGGCAGTTTCTAACAAATTGTTTCCAAGAGCTTACTTGTAGATCACTTATTTGTTTTCTCATGGTAACAGAGTGATTACATAGTGATTCAATGCCAGGGCCAGCTGATTGACACCTCTTTAACTTATCATGTTTATGAGTATTTCACTAATAGAATTGTAGAACTGAAAGACCATGGAAACGAATATTCTATGAGAAAATCAGAGTTAGCCATGCCAGTGGAATCAGGTCCTCCTCTCATGCTTACCCCTGTTTGTCAAACCATGAGTAAAGGATCGCTACCACTCCAACTCTAACCACAATCGTTGTCTGAACGTCCAGCATGCTGCCCATGCTCACATTTGGCCTATCTGATCCCATGTCGACCACCTGACTTTATTATTTCAAAAAATTTACTGCGAGCTACCTAACCTGCCCTGCTACCATCAGCATTTAATACGCTCAGCTTTGAATCAGTTACTAATTATAATTTGATGATAATTGAAACTATCCGGGTTTGAGCTCATCAAATTTAATTGTATTAAGTGACATCATAAAACTTTGGGTTGATGAAGAAAGACAGAAATTAGGTATGAATAAGACCTCCACAGGCTCTCAATTTACCTTTGAGTCACAACCTGGTGCAGGTCCTTTTGACTCACAATTATCCTAAAAATAACCCACAAATCAATTTCTGATCATAAGACCTGCTTCTGAAAAAACTTGGATGCCCCCACTCTGGATATTTCTGTAGCCTGAAACAATGCCTTTAATTCCTCATTTTCCTCCACTTCTTCCCAATCTTCTTGTCTCCTACCATTCTGTTCCTTTCTGGAGAAGAAGAAGAGAGGAAGAGGACTAGAAGAAAAAAGAATTATTCACACTATACATGTTAGGATGGAAGGAACTAGAAAGAAATCTCCAGTGACCTCGATGGGAGCTCCTTTAGTCAATTGACTGGGGCAGCTATTTATATAGAAGGAAAGTGTATGAGGCAGTCCTATATAATTAGGGGAATGCCAGTTAGAAAATGTCTGTGCGTAAGTAACTACTGCATTTCCAATTTGAAATGATGTTGAAGGTAACCATTGATTTAGTAGAATTAAAATACCTCATGGTTTACTAGGACCAAATGTTTACTGAATTTTAATATATGATTAATATATCCTCAGACAAAAAGTATGAAAGTTCAGGGCCAGCCCAGTGACACAGCACTTAAGTTCACATGTTCCACTTTGGCGGCCTGGGGTTCACCAGTTCAGGTCCCGGATGCGGACCTATGCACCGCTCGTCAGGCCATGCTGTGGCAGGTGTCCCACATCAAATAGAGGAAAATGGGCATGGATGTTAGCTCAGGGCTAATCTTCCTCAAAAAAAAAAAAGTATAAAAGTTCAAAATTATCAGAAACATATGATGGTATTTCTAAAAGCCTCAAATCATTATGTCTTATTCACCTTGGCCTCCCTTTTGTCTCTGGTTTTACATCTCCTCTACAAGTTCTTTCAATGAAAAGATAGTAACCTCATCATTCTTAAGATAGTTGAAATTCAAAAGACATGTTTTTCTCTCCTTTCTCACCAGCATATACATCTTTTCACTAGATTTTTGGAAGGCACAGGATAATAAATGTTTTTAAATTAAGGATGAACAGATTGCTAAATAGTCAAGATGTCTGAATGCTGTTGCTTTTCTGCCGTTATTTTCAACTGAAGGGGACAGTAGACATGAGGCTTTCACAACATCGCCTGTAACTCTTCCACTATGATGAATATCAACACTTTATAACCATTAATTTAATTTCTCATCTGTAACATTTTGATGACTCTACTGAGACTGAACTATTGCTATGATCTTATAATTTGCTCTTTTGGTTAAATGCAATAGATATAGAGCTTGAATTGCATAATGTGTCCATTGAAATATTTCTCCCCAAAAGCACTTTTCTTTGCCTGATTACTCTCTAAAACACTTCACAAACTGAAAAGCAATTCTCTATTATTGTAAAATTGATGGGAGTAATTAGAAGTTCCAAATCTGCAGAAGACTTTCAAGACTGCTCCTAATTTATTGACCACTTTTGTTGTCACGCCAAATGTATGAGAGATACTTAGTTAAAAGACATTGGCTCTGACAATTTATACAAGAATTTAATGCACTAAGAAGGAAGGGGCACTAATCTCTTGGAAATTCAGTTGCATTTCTTTATCTCCAGTGCCCCATCCTTGTAGTAGTTGCATAAAATTTAGAGTAGAACCCAATGCCTATACCAACCCAAAAATACCAAGCAGTAAGAAAATGAAAATGAACTTCAAAAATATTCCTCTCTCTAATGTTGAAAAACAAATTGTTTTTTCATGATTGGCTAATTTACAGCTGAGGGTGAGAAGAACCTAATTAAAGAGATGTTTACATTCTACCTCCAATGAGTTGGAGGTGGATGCTTTATAAGGAGTCCTAGCCACACAAAAGCTTAAACTTTAATATTATACAAACTCTCTTCCAGTTAACAAGTCACGGATTAGAAATGTTCTCAGAAGCACACTATATTATTTTACTTACTGTTCATGAATGTTTGAATGTTTTATAGTGCCACTCAAAATTCTAAGTATCCAAGATATCTGAATGTCTCAGTGGCATTTAGGACTTTCTAAAGTAGCCAATAGATTTGTTCCATTCGCTTCATTGTGATTGATAGGAACTATCATTTCAGCCAAATGCCAAGGCCAATGTGAGTGAGATAGGATCCAAACCGATTACCTGGTATACAGCCGGATAGGGAAAGCATGAAGTAGTCAACCCAAAAGGCTGGGAGTGTGGGACTGGGGCAAAAGTGAACTGTGTTGTTCAGTCTGGCAGAAGTTCCAATTTAAATCCTACGGTAGTGTGAGATTATTGCAGAAAAACACTTGAGACAGCCCAAAACTTAACTGAGGCTTTAGAGAAAATTTGGGGATTAAACCAGATACGAGGACTGTTTTGTACCAGACTGGAAATTTAGAACGGCATCTGGTCTTGCAAACTTAACTCCTCTCAAAGACCCCAAGGTAGTCCTAAACAACTATAGTATCCTCGAGTTAAACAGAGCATAATTAGTCCTGCAAGTCACAGCATTGTCAGAACAATGCCTAGTAGTAGAACAACCCAATTCATTCATCATGGAGCCTGTTATTTTGGTGAAAAATGCTCTTACATGCTTAGAAGGAGAGAACTGTGAAAAACTGCATGAAAATGGCCCTATCTGGTGCTTGCCTCTGCCCTCCCAGTGAAGGGGATGGAAGCCATGATGTATGTGGTTTAAACATTGCTGTCAGGATGGCAAGATGCTGTGGAGACATGAAAGAGTTTGATCCAAGAAATCTGATGATAATAAGAAAAGTAATAAAAATAATAGCCTTTTATTGAGTAGCTACAATTGTGTTGGTCACTGTGCTAGACTGTTTGTATATATGAACTTATCTGATCTTCATAACAACTTATATTAGTTAAGTAGTAGTATTTCCCATTTTGCTGAGGCTCAGAGGGTTTAATTAACTTGTCCAAGGTCATTTAGCTGATCTGTGGCAGACAAGATTTGAACCCAAATTGATCTGACTCCAAATCCTTTTCTCTTACGAAGCACTATGATGCATGCCTCTATCTGCAGATAGCACTTAGCAGAAGAGCCACATGACAAATTTATACCCTGTAGAGTTGAGACTAATATGATATTCTAATATTGAAAGTATTACAGAGCCCTCTAATTAGTCATAGTCTAGGTATCTGCTTCAACAAGTCCTTGGAAGTCAGCATGTACTCTCTATTGAACCTAGATAATTAGAAGCATACTGTACACAGTGGATTGCTAAGCAATTATATGACTTTTGGACTAAGGTATCATTAGAGTGCTGAGTTTGCCAATGGAACAAACCACTATAATCTTTGCCTGTATTTAAATGGTCAGAAAATAATAATTCATGACTGCAAAATTCAATTAATTTACCCATGCAGTTTCTACAGGACATTGTTAAAAGGAAGAGATCAGATTAATGGGTTACTGATACTGGGTTGTTGTAATGACTTCATAAGGCAGTCCAAGACTCTGAAAATGAATCAGTTTTTAATGATGCATTCACATGGTTCATCGTTCAGGGACTATAGCCTTCCTTGCCATTTGAGGAGGAAGGACTAAACTCATAGAGTTTAAAGATATTAAAGAAAACTCATAACCCATTTCTCTATATGCTCTAAAGGTATATTACTAAACAGTCGCACGTGCAATTATCTAGCCATAGGACCAAAATGAAAGCTATATTATGGCTATCCTCAAAACACTCGACAGCAGGAAATATTCATACTGGAGCATTGGAACCAAAAAATCACCTATTCTCGGCAGTTTTATCATAAACACCCATGCTCGGTGGATGCCAAAGAGCCCACCTGTACTTCTGCTGATTTGAACAATCTGCCTGTAGACACAGAAATGATAGAAGAATCAAATTCCTGTTCTTTTTTCAAATGCCTTAATTTGCCTATGGTACAAGTAAAATCCCAAACCAAGGAAGAATATCGGAGGCATGGCAAAGCTCAAATATGATCACCAATAAACTCTAAATAAATGTTCTCGAATCTCAGGATAAATTACTAGGTTTTGTTCTACATCACTTCTAAAAGATTAACTCCAGGTGCCAAAATGGCCTGAAACAGGACTTACGACCCTCCTTCCACTCCGAGAAAAAAATGGGACTTTTTTCTT